CATAAATTTATTTGAAGATCATCCATCATACAAACTACGCTTTAAATTACGCTGACATATTCGGGAAACTTAGATAGAGTGAGGTGAAGATGCTGAAAATTAATATCTGGAACACTATTGTGCTGACTTAGAATTTCGCATGGGTATGCGGAAAGAGAATAACCTGAAACCAGTTGTCCGTTAACAGTTAAGGTGATCGAACAGAATTTTAGGCTGGAGAGATCGAAGTTGTCAGGAACCCCATCCTCAGCCTTCCAGTTATGAGTAGAACTTTATGGTGATCAATCTATAAGACAGGTGGTCATCGTGTCCCAGTCTCACTTTACTTTCTGGATGTTTTAGTCAGCTTTTTACTCGTCATCACACTCAGTGGCCAATCAAGTCTTCTCATTCTAACCAAAACCAAAGAAAACTATAAACAGTGGTCCAGTCAATGTTCACTGGTTAGATTGTATTATCTCGACTACCTACTCTCTAGTACTGAAGCCAGTCTATAGGTAAAGCTTATCCTAAGTACCTCAACTCCTAAATGTCTATGAAATCTGCAGGAATCCATGTCAAAATGATTTCATTACTTCAAGAAGGGAAGGACTGATGGGTCACTGCAGCAGAATTCATTCGATAAACTTTATGTCCCACCATCAAGACTGTTCGTAAGGAGATGTTTGCTTTGCGGTTGAAAGTTACCAATTAAGAAGGTTTAAAACTTGAAGCAATACAGATAAACAGTTGACTGCAAGACGAGAAGTACAAATTTAGCCATTTAGTTTGCATCACAACCCTTGTTGTCACATTGTTTTCACGTTCCTTACAATACAGTTAGTCTTAGGCTATATATATATTGGATTCTTTGAGAATTATAGATAATTTTACGAAGGAAATTTGTTTTGGAATACATAATTTGCAGTGCAAGAAGGAATTGAGGCGACTTAGAGAACAGTCAGAATTTGACTTGCCTATTTACCTTTTTCACACTAATAACCTGTATTCCACCACCCGATGAGGTTGTAAGGTGGTGAATGCAGGGTTTCCGTACAAGAATTCAGGTTTCTTACATATGTATAAGAGCAAAACTTGGGCAATGTGGTAGGTTGTGGCTCTATTTCAGTGTGTTTATCAAATGCGTCATACGGTGGGACAGTATTATTAAAGGGATGAAGTTTCGGACCTAATTTATTGTCCATATACACATCAAGTTGATATGGGTGCGGACAGTGAATAATGTCCGAAACGTTATGCATTAAATAATGCTATTCTGCTATGTAATAGTTCTGATTAATTGACTAAGGTGGAACTGATTCAATATATTTGCCACTGTTTGAGGTTGTTTAGTGTTGAACTAAAAGCCGTTTCGAATAACTAGATCATTAGTCCATTGCCAAAACTTATTCTGACTAAACTGTTAGATTATTCACCTCAAGTGGGTCAAAATAGTTTCAAGCAAAATCAAGTTACAAAACCCTATAGTTCGCCCCAATTAGACAACCTTGTTTAGACCGAAGTTTTCTGACTAACTCCAGACATCTAAAGGTAAAAGTGATTCTAAAAGCCAACCAAACAACTACTAAAATAACTCAATAGGTTTGGTTACTTCCTTTGAAATAGCAATTTTCAGTTAAATAAAGGAGCCTAAATGATAGTTTCGAAAGCTGTTGGAGTGGTCATTCAATAACCACCAAAGTGCAGATTGCTAAGCGTTTAGTGTCAATGTATGAGGTGGCTTGAAATTGAATGAAAGCATTATGAATAGGTTATAATGATGCAATTATTGATTCTTTTTTTAATCAAAATATAATAATCTCACTGTCCTGTGCAGCAGATGAAGTGAAAATTTGGCATCCTTGGTTTGCTTACACAACATAATATATTTTTTGATTGGAATCAGTGATAATCAAAAAAAAAGACTTTTGACCTTTAAAAAAATAATTTCAACTATTCTGATCTTGACAGACATTTCACAGTGCACCACCTTAATTTGCGTAATGCAACATTTCACCTATCAGTTAAAGGAAACCTCAATTTTCAGGTTTTCATGTGTATATCACCCGTTGGTTTAAAGTGACCATTAAACAATGTAAAGTGGTTTTATTGCTTGGCATATTGTAAAAATGCAAGGTTGTATTGCTCTTGAAAGAAATTCACCGTGTTTCTATTCTTATTTCGTATGATTTCCACTAGTGGTTACGTCATAAGTCTACTCTTAAGTGTATTTACTTTTCCCCTTCTTCTATGATGAATTGTTTCTATTCTCTAGTGGAATTCTGATTAGCTGTTCTTCCTTTGGGATTTATAGATCATGTATTGTAAAGAGTAAAAAAGCCTGTCTTAGAACGTTTTCTACCCAAATGAATTAAAGTTAAAGTCTTTACCGAAAGGAGCTGTTTTCATTTATTCTTCGTCAACTAGAGAGAATTCATCTAATTCCAGCTTGAAGATGACAAAATCTATTTCACAAGAAAATAGTGTTAAGGAGCTTTGACTGTCTACTTCACAATAAGTTTAAGTATCCTACATCATTAAAGCCATTGAGATAGCCGAGATTTTCTTTGAATTGCTCATCTTAATACAGTCTATTGTTCTGTTCTGCTATTCTGACTTACCGTGATAAAATTCTTTGATCCACCTACTTAACTGGAAGCTGAGTGGAAAGATATGGCAAGAAATTTCATTCAATGACAGTTTGATAATTGAATCAAAGGAGTGGATTCACTTTTAAACTAGTTTCTGAGTCTACTTAATACATGAAGTCTTCTAATACGTACCTTTGATATCCTTATGCCTAACGTAATGGAGAAGTTACATCTGCGTTTTCTTCATTTTTATTTGATCTCAATTGTTTATGAAAAGTTAAATTATTACCCTACGCTCCTAGGCGTCTATCAAGTTCCGATTAGCTAGACGGTTAAAGTCCTGAACTAGATTTTATCCTGTTTGAATTAGATGTAAGATGAAAAACTGATATTCAGCAGTAGTAATGCGCTCTTAATTGATCAAGAGATAACTATGTACTTAAAAGGTTAATTTTAATTTTTAATAATTTACTCCAAAATCTCTCCTTTAATCTTTGATTAAATAATAAACCAGAAAAAAATATTCACACAAACCCTTAAATGAACAAAATATTAAAAACGTGGTAACATCAAAAAGATTGCTATTTTGAATGTAGACGGCGACAATAATTAACTGTGGTTCCCATGAAGTAGTTGGATGTGGGAAAATTTTTCATTTGAATGCTACTTTTTCTTAACTCCTCATAATTACTCCCTAAAATAAATAGGCTTTTATTATAGATTCCAGTCAGGGAAAAATATTTTTATCACATCACTATTAGGTGAGATTAAGAGTTTTCCTCTGTCTTGCTTTTACTATCTGTCTGTTTGATAAAGCCAACTTTGAATACGGTGAGTTGTAATGCAACGTAGCCATTAAGACTAGTAATTTAGTGAAGCTAAGACCTGCTGCGAAATAGGTTTCTACTTTTCACTCACTTTAGCCTTTCCTATTTTAGATTTCCTAACTGCTCCGAAAGCTGTTCAAGTTTACTTCTGATTTGAGTCTGTTTTCGTTGGAAACAGAGATGGACAAGTGTGTTGATAAAAGTAACTTGAATTATTTGATTTCGTCATTATGGATTATTAAACAGTGAATAGATTTGAACCATCTTGTATTTTAAGTCTTTGAAAAAACACTATTAAGCACTAATAATTGTAGTTGTTAAAACAATCTAATTGTTAATTAAACCATTTAAAAATAGGATGTTTATTCGGAAATGTAGGGGGATAATGTTGCTTCTTCATGAGTAAGAAACAATTGTTACTGAAAAACATTCGACTGAATATTGTAAAGCAAAAATAGAATAGTCTCAACATTCCTAAACATGCTTGAACTAGGATAGTCGTGAGCAATAACTCTCTAACCTGAAATGGAATATTTTTGATTATACACAATGTACAATAGGAGAGCTTTTTGGCATGTCTGTTGTTGTTTGCCCTAAGTAGACAGATTTATTAGTCGAGTGTTAGAAGCTACATGTGCTGGGTTTCAGTCCTTGTGAAAACGCTATTACTTCCTAGGATGCAAGCGAATTCAGCCAGCAGGTCCAAAATCAGAGAGAAAGGTGTGTTCGATATTTTAGTGCTAGCTGCCGCCAAGAAAATATCATAATAATGATCAAGAATCTCATATGTCGACGGAGACCGATCAGCACTATCCAGACGAAAAGTTACAAATATGAACAGATAAACGGGTGATACACCTAGTCTACCTTTTTCAAACTTCGTACTTACCTTTCAGCATAATTAACTGTCTAATTTTTGTTTACTTAATGCAATATAAAGTACACATTTCATATAGTATTAACCTTCTATGTTATTCTTTGAATCTTATCTATGCTGATAAATGATGCCTGAAGTAAAGTTTCGTTATTCTTGTTGAGGTACACGATTAACCTTGTGTAGTCAAAATCTCACTTGAATACAGAGTTTAGTCAAAAAGTCAGAAAGTATGTAGCTCATTAGAAAGCCAAACTCACCAATGAATCCTATACTTTCCTAAAACATTTGTGTTCAATTCGAAAGAAGGGTTTTTTAGGATAGATTTTTTTCAACGCAAACCATTTCAAAACAGTAAATAGGGTAATTCGATTTGGAGGCTTATGGGGGAGTGATTGATTTCAAGGAAGTATCCACCATGGGATGACACCAGTTAGAGAACTATTGAAGATCTCATAGTACTGGATAGTTGTTCCGTTCTTGTACAGAACTACTCGACAGTGCGCAGCCATGACCTTATTAGTGATGCCTCCGATACTTTTGACTGTATTGACAGTATTCTAGATTTACTTGTTCATTTATCCATTCTCTGACGTGAAGCAACATGATAGGTTGCAGCACCAAAGTTCTGTGGTCGATTGATGACTGTTTAATTATGGATTTTATTTCCCACTTTTTCGACTAGATTCTACCATAAATAGTTCACCGCCAAACTCTTTTTTTCTGTAGGCATCCTCTGCCGAAACAATACTACCTAGCTATGCATCCATATTTGGATCGACATACAACAGCTAGAAGACATGTCTGTCAACTGAATTCACATAGATCTTATCTCTGTCCTGCAAATTATCCAAGTGGATTTGTATTCTATGATCGGTCAATAAATGGACAGTGTACACAAAATGTAAGTTAACAATTTTTCCCCTTTCTTTATTTCGCTCTTGTAGTCATTAGAGAAGGGATAATCGAAAATCGTTCTTTTTTGCTTTACAAAACAGGGAAACACTTACTTATATCAGCTGCATGATATATACATTTAGGTGTTGTGGGTAGTTGAAACCGGTTCACAGTGTTGAGGCATAGCATTTTTTCTGTCTAACGCAGAATTTGGGAGGTCTGTGTGGATTTAGCGGCTTTTTTTCAAGTTGGGGTTCATCGTGGACTGTCAGCAGTTGGATGAAGATTGGAAACCTATTATGGGACTCCATAGCAATGGGTACCCATGACCCCACCAGGGATAGAAACAGCGACCCTAAGGTCCTGTGGGCTGCACGTTACCACTGAGCCACTGTGTTGGAATCCAATGGTCCATATTTTCATGTCAGTTCACTATATAGCTCATCCGGCACGCAATGTCGTCTTGATTATTCGTCCTCACGACCACCAGGTTTGCCTCATTGGTCGCGGCTTCTCACTGGAACTTCGGGACATGCCTCTCAAAGCTGGTGACCAGTGAGCACTAGTTCAACTGAATTTGGGAGATTTGTAGGGATATAGAAGACAAATACTCAATGACGACATTGGGTGCCGGATGCGCTATGTCGTGAACTGACAGATGGAAATATGGACCATTGGATTCCAACACAGTGGCTCAGTGGTAACGTGCAGCCCACAGAACCTGAGGGTCGCGGGTTCTATCCCTGGTGGGGTCGTGGGACCCGTTGCTGTAGAGTCCCATACTGGAACGAAACATCTGTCCATTGCTTCTAGGTTTCCAATGTTTATCCAGCTGCTGTCAGTCCACGATGAATACTAACTTGAAAAAAACTAGCCGGAAGTGTTTGCAAAACCACTGAGTTTTGACGCAAAAATAAGAAAGTCACATGGAAGTTGGCTGTCTACTATTTTCAGAAGATAAATCTATAAACCAAAGAAGTGTTGAAGCTATTGGCATGGATGGTGAGAAGAGTAACAATATGAAAGTTGTGTTACTTAGTTAGTAACTTTCATCCTTTCTATCTGTCTTTCCACTTATATATATGTATATATATATATATGTATATATATATATATATGTATATATATATATATATATATATATATAGCTTTAGATAACTTTTTTAAAGATATCTTGTCAATGGATACAGGTTTAGGTAGTACTAAATGACAGTTTGTCTATCAAACGGAGCCATTTACTCATGTTATTGTAATTATTCATAGGTACATTGTTATCTACTTTTTAACTTGACAATATATTACTTACGTACGTGCTATAAGTTGGATACTGTTTGTTTTATGCCTCTAGAGGTATCCTACTAATTAAATATGCATAAGCTACATTTCTCTAACTCACTATTAGGGGAAAAAAGAATTGACATTAGTTCTCAATGGATAAATGATTCGTTTATTAGATGATTTTTGTCTGTTAGGTACAAATGGTTATCATAGCGTGGAAAATGTTTCACTTATAAGGTTAATCAGCTAATGACTATAATATTGAGAAAACCCAATTTTGTCGGACTTTATGAGATGCATAGAATGTTTTGACGAAGTAAACAATACGGACACAGCTGAACACATTTGTAAGGCTTGAACGCACAGCTAATTTGAACGGAGTAAGTTTTTCACTAGTTTACTTGGTGGTGGTTAACAAAGAAATACTAGAACACGCATTTCGTCGTCTTTGGGACCGGTAAGTTAAATATACCTGCACGCTAATGAGTGCTTGTGTCCCCATTGAGACTCGAACTCGGGTACCCATCGCTTCGAATACCAAAGCGTTACTTACTAGGTTACTGAAGCAGGAGAGGCACCTCCGGTTTAGTATTCGTGACATGAATTAAACACAATCAGTGAGAAGATACATTCCATTTTCAATACCTTTTTTCACTAATGAACATATGTTAAAAAGGTTAATGAAGGATGAGAAGTACATGATAACTTTAAAAGTCTCACGTCAGTTCACCATCGTATTTGCCTCCGGTTGAGCTGAAACATTTTGGCTGATACAGTTAGGCGTTATTTCTAATGTAGTTGATTTATATACTTTGCATTTCATTTCCAGTCAGCTCCGTTCCAGATTTACCAAACGAAATTCATTCCAGCATCAAGCTTTAACTGCAACCAAACTGTGAGATTTATTTTAAGTGGTTCTATGGACTTAAATCCTATGTGTAGTAGTTATTAATTATAGACCCATGGATTCGAATCCTCAGTTGTCCTGGACATTCTGCACATATTTTTACTCCAACATATAGCCTGTTCCATAAATGACAAGATATATTTAAGGCTTCATGACACTCGTTGACAAACTACGTGGACTTCACCTTCAGACACTTCATGAGATTACCAATTAGGACAAGGTATTGGAGTAATAAGAATACTGAGATCAGTAAGACAGTCCCACGACTTAAGAAGACGTAAAGTAACCCATCACAACAAAGATTGGGATTTTTGGGGGCCTAAATATAAAATAAATTATCCTGATTGACTCTTAGAAGCATGAGATTATCAAACATGATTTCTTCTTACCGCACAACTACATGAATCAAAATTTGTACCTGGAAAATTCTCATTCCATCGATTGATGACTTAAAAATGTTGTTTCTTTCTATAATCACTTATAACTTTAGAATACTCAATGAACCAAAAATGCAATTCATGTTAGTTAGACAATGTGTGCCACATTTCAATGAGACGAGCTTAACAGTTCACCATAAGAATAGTGCAAATTATAGAGTAGGATACACATTTTGATTATACAAACCTTTTGTCATGGTTTCAAATGCTTTATTTTACTGTCATTACTTCAAGTGCTTATTCAAGTAGACCTCAGTTTAGATAAAATGTGTGAGAAGTTTGTTTAGCATTGACTGATTTGTACTTTATGATCAATGTGCAAGGCAAGTAGAAAGGTGAAAACATAGGTAAGAAGAGATAATTATTTTGTAGAAGTTTCTCAAAATATCCATACAAATGGAAAGATACATTTAGAGAGAATAGATTTTTTTCTTTGAAATGCACATAGAATACTGACTAAACAAAAAGGTGAACAATAGAAGAAATGTAGGCAGAAGTGCTACTCCATAACAACTGTGACATACATCAGTTTTGAACAATTATTTGGAGCATAGTCTCATTGCAAATTGGACTGTCTAGTTACTGGCTCCAGTAAAATGTCTTCAGTGTCTCCAAAAAATACTTCTTTATATTTGTTGCAAACAGTAAGCCAGTACGAATCGGAAGATTCTGTTGATGTGTACACTAGTTAAAAATTGCACAGTAATTTCTTGGTGGTAGAGCTGTACCTGAGCATTAAATAGTTAATCAATAAATTCGTCTAGTCTTATCCTTTTTAAGGTATCTACATAAAAATAATGTGGATTATTCATCTCAGCGAAATTGAAAGAATCTCTTCTGTCAATAGAAAAAGCCTAAATATTCAACTAGATGGTTACACTAAGAGCCTGATCGATGGCAATGGTCAGCGCATCTGATCCAACACTATGTCATAAGTCTTAGCCTAGTGGTAGATTAAATGAAACACTAATCAAATAAATGAATCAGTTTATCACGAAACAACAGTCAGTTTCGAATCCATATTTGTGTTTTTCAGTGGGTTAGACGAAAAAAAATCCCAACTGACTAGTTTTTTATTTATTTGACTTTGGTGATGATGTATTTTCAAATCTTTCAGTTGATAGACTGGGTAGTTTTAATGCCTAATACTGTTTTATCTTATATCCACTAACATTACCTAGCTTGATATAGAATTATATACAAAAAATAAGAACAAGTAAATAACAAAGTTATTTTTCAATTATCCTTGCAAACAACAAATATGATATGCAGATAAACTTTCAGAAAAAATGACAGCATAAGGCTGCCTATAAAGTGAGAGAACCTGATGACGAAAGGTGAATAGAGGTATACAAGATTACAATTTGGCCAACATGATAAAGTGAAATTCAACATAGGAATAATCTATTTGACATAGCACATAATGATAAGTGAAGAATGCCTACTTTTCGATGAACAACCAATCGACTGTAGTCGTTTAACAAAATGAGACTGAAATTAAACTTCGTATTTAAATCAGCTGGATCAAAATGATGTGCGAAAAAACGCCCAGAAGTTCACCAACGGTTTTCTAAAACCTCTAAAAGTCATTATCTTTTATGGGTTGACAAATCTGTCATGGATTATCCTATGCTGTTCTAACCATATATATATACCATTTGGGGTGAAAGAGCAATCTTCTCAGTTTTGACTACATAAGCCTAAAACTAGGGGTTCAAAAATTGAAACACCAGGAGTTTGTTTGAACCCAGTGGAGGTCCTAGATAATTAGTATATTGTCAAAACCATGACAGCAGTCAAAAATGGTTGTGATTAAGAGATAATATATAGGTTTCAGATTAGATTCTTAGATACTGCCCGTCGTTTTAATTTTACACTAATGGTGGATGGAGCCTAGTAGTGGAATCCAGGGCGCGCACTGTTTCCTATTTGTGGGGCACTTCAGATGATTGTGTTCTCTTCTCACTCAGCCACTATCCATCAAAATGACAGGCAATTTCAAGGCATCTTCTCAGGAGCATATGCCAATGCTGTTTAGTCAGTGATGGACTAACACAAGCAATGACATAAGAGCTATACCCGTCACACAAAAAATGGCTATCGTGACCTTGTGGCCTAATGAATAGAGCTCCTACTTTTAAAGCGAACGGTTCGGGATTCCAGTCTTAATGGCAGCTGGTCCATCTAGCTGACGAGTTCCGAATAGGATGAAACGCACGTCTTAGTTCCTACTACTGGCCAGTATTTATCATTACCAGTGACTATTTATAGTTACATAAAAAATCGATGGCAGTGAAGGATGCTAAGAAATGCCAATGTTCAGTTCATGGTCTAGGATTCCCCATGTATGGTTAACAAAGATGACACATCATGTCTAAAGCTCAG